GAGGTCCAAGGCATGCCGCTGGGAGTTTGGCTACGTGCGCAAGCCCGAGCTCGTGCACGTCTTCGTCCATGGCGCGGATGGGCCGCAGATCTTGCGCTGGCAGGAGTTGATGGCGAGGCCGGCACTCTGCAGGCAAGCCTTTGGGGGCACGAGCGATGATCTTGCACAGCTGAACCAGGTGGCCGAGAACATGGCCAGTGATGAGGAGGTGAAGGCCATGGAGGATCTCGTGGCCCAGGTGGGCAAGGCTGCAGAATTTGTGGAGGCTCAAGAGCACCAGGCCTGGTGCGAGCTGCCCCTGCGGGAGATGTCCTGTGCCCTGGCAACCGAAAGCCTCGGCGAAGAGAGCGAGCCAGCACTTAATGCTGCGAATCACCTCATGGTGTGCTTGATGCAAACAGGCCACGGTGGACGGGCTGTGGGCATGGGGACCAGGCTGCTGGAGATTGAGGAGCGTCACTACGGTGCAGACCACCTTTGGGTAGCGATGACCCTCAGCAACCTGGGGAATGCCTATGGAGAGTTGGGCGACTACCAGCGGCAGAAGGAGCTGCTGGAGCGATGCCTCAGGATCGGGGAGCAACACTACAGTGCAGACCACCCCAAGGTGGTGATGACCCTCAGCAACCTGGGGACTGCCTATGGAGACTTGGGCGACTACCAGCGGAAGAAGGAGCTGCTGGAGCGATGCCTCAGGATAGGGGAGCAACACTACGGTGCAGACCACCCTGAGGTGGCGACGATGCTCAACAACCTTGGGAATGCCTATGGAGACTTGGGCGACCACCAGAGGGAGAAGGAGCTGCTGGAGCGATGCCTTAAGATCAAGGAGCAACACTACGGTGCAGACCACCCTGAGGTGGCGAAGATCCTCAACAACCTGGGGAATGCCTATGGAGACTTGGGCGACTACCAGCGGGGGAAGGAGCTGCTGGAGCGATGCCTCAGGATCGGGGAGCAACACTACGGTGCAGACCACCCGGAGGTGGCGATGACCCTCAACAACCTGGGGAATGCCTATGGAGAAATGGGCGATCACCAGCGAATGAAGGAGCTGCTGGAACAGTGCCTCAAGATCAAGGAGAAACACTACGGTCTAGACCACCCTGAGGTGTCGAAGATCCTCAACAACCTGGGGGCTGCCTGTGGAAAGCTGGGCGACTACCAGCGGAAGAAGGAGCTGCTGGAACAAGGCCTCAAGATCGAGGAGCAACACTACGGTGCAGACCACCCGGAGGTGGCGACGATCCTCAACAACCTGGGAACTGCCTGTGGAGAGTTGGGCGACCACCAGCGTGCGAAGGAGCTGCTGGAGCGATGCCTTAAGATCAAGGAGCAACACTACGGTGCAGACCACCCTGACGTGGCGTCGATAATCAACAACCTGGGGAGTGCCTATGGACTTCTGGGCGACTACCAGCGGCAGAAGGAGCTGCTGGAGCGGTCGTTGGAGATCTTCCAGCGCTCGCTTGGGCCCGGGCATCCGTCAGTGGACCTGGTGCGCCGCAATCTTCGAAAAGCCTGTGCAAAGCTGGAAAGAAAGCTCGAGGCTGGGACCCCCCCCAACCAAACCAAACAAAATGCAGAGATCCTGAGGCCCAAGGCCTATGCTCGTGTCGCCACAGCCAAGGACAGCCAAGGACTGCGGGCATCCACTCGACCCTGCAGCAACCAGACTCGAAGGATTCAGCATGCTGAGGGCTGGAGGGCTGGGGGCGTGGAGGGCTGCACTCAAAATCACTAACACTGTTTGTATGCTGGGGTGGGGGGGGGCAGCCGCTAGACACAACCTTCAGCAACTCGTGGCAGGGGTAGAGGATGGTAGAGGGATGACTAGGGAAATGCAGTTTGCTGATGCTCTGCTTTTCCGGCTTCTCCTGCGTCGGACTTTCGGACTAGCCCTTGTCACTGCCCCTACGGAGCCTTATAGAGTTTAGGGTTTAGGGTCAGCGCCCGGGCACCCTGAGTCAGGAGCAAGACAGACAACTTGCCTTTCAAGGAATGAGGCTCGCTGAAATCACTGCCAATCACGTAGAGATCGTGCGGGCCACTGCTTGTGCTGGGGTAGCCGGAAAAGCTCTGTAGGTCCTGAGGGTGGGTGCGTTGGCACTCAAGCGCAAGCGGAGCTGTTGATTTGTTGTCACGCTGATGCCTCCCCGGGCTTGATTGAGCAGCAGCAGCGCTGTCGTTTCCCATCACGCGGTCCAAACATCAGTACACTTTCGGGCGCTTGAGCACAAGCGGCGCTGTTGAGTTGCTGCTGAGTCGCTGTTGCATGACACGTCATCATGCGGTTCAAGCACCAAAACAGGCGCAGCTGAAGCAGCGGCAAGTAAGCAGCGGTGGCACCTTTGATTCATTGTAGCATCGTACGTTCTCTTGCTCTCCTAACGTTAATTCAAGCGCCGGTGCTTAAGCAGGGGCAACATTGTTGAATCCCATCACGCCGTCCAATCATCAATGTACAAGAGTCGGCGCTTAAGCGTAGGCACCGCTGTTGATTCGCCGTTCCTTCACGCTTATCAAGTTATCCATAAATCAGTTCGGTGCATAACAAGGGGCTGTGGCGGTGCTATTGATTCCCATCATGCGGGTCAAGCATCTGTGCAAGCGTCCGGGCTTAAGCAGGGGCGGCGCTGTTGCTTCGCCGGTGCTTAAGCAGGGGAAGCTCGACTGATTGTTGGATTCCATCAAGCGTAGGCAGCGGGCGCTTACGCGAGGGCGGCGCTCTCAGTTGCATCATGTGGTCCAGGCGTCACTACAAGCGCAAGCGCTTAAGCAAGGGCGGCATTGTTGTGGGCGACGCTGTTGATTCCCATTGCGCGGTACAAGCATCAGTACAACCGCGGCAGCTTAAGCACAACCTGCGTTGTTGATTCGCCGTTGAATCGCGTGTTAACATGCGGCATACAGGAGTGGCGGCGCTTTTGATTCGCTCTTGCATCAAGCACAGCGCTGTAGCTTTGCTGTTGCATCTTAAGTCATCACGAGGTCCATGCCTTGCAGAAAAGACACGGCATTGTTTCACTGCCGAGGTTCCTTTGACTGTTATAATCGAGACAATTCTATCACCTTCTGAACAGTTTATGCTGCACTCAAGGCCTCATAGTTTTGGGGGTCGGGTTTTAGGGTTTATCCCACAAGACATTATCATCTTCATTTGAAGCAGCAACATCACATTGACATGAGGCCTCACATGTGTCAAAATCCCCCCCCCTCCCTCAGCATCGCCCGTCCATCATTTCCAGTCGTGAAGAGGCATGGTAATTTCGACGTCATCTAAAGTTCTAAAGCTGGCGGACATTTTGTGAAATTTGCCCGGCACGTGCAACATCATCATTGTCGCACACTTCGTTGCAGTACTAGTTCGTTTGTGTGCTGCTGGAGTGGTTTTAACTAGTTTTAACAATAAATTAGTTTGCTATGCATGTTGGATGTTGTTTCTTTATGGATCTTTCCGTATAAGGCTGTGATGCTTGTGTATCCTTCGCTGCCTTCGCCATGTTTGTGACGTGGCTCACGGAGTTGTGTAGAGCTTCATTACGTGCCCGCTTCAGTGTGCTATGCTTTCTCTCGGCCTCTAGGTTCCTGCTTTCGTGCTTGGCGTGATCTTTTTGTTCGCCAAAATCTGATTGTTGTGTCCTTGTCATCTTCACTCACTGCGGGTCCAGTGGCGGTATTAATGCTGTTTCGGTTTCTCTCTGTCTCCCCGTCTCTCCGTCTCCCCGTCTTGCCAGCTCTCCGTCTCTCCTTCTCCCGGTCTCTCTGTCTCTCTGCCTCTGTCTCTCTGTCTCTCTGCCTCTGTCTCTCTGTCTCTGTCTTTCTGTCTCTCTGTCTCTCTGTCTCTGTCTCTCTGCCTCTCTGTCTCCCTGTCTCTCTGTCTCTCTATACCTGTCATGTCTCTGTCTCTGTCTCTGTCTCGGTCTCTCTGTCTGTGTGTCTCTGTCTGTCTGTGTCTGTCTATCTCTATCTGTCTGTCTCTGTCCGTCTCTGTGTCTCTGTCTCTCTGACTCTGTCTCTTTCTCTCTGTCTCTCTATCTCTCTGTCTCTCTGGCTCTCTGGCTCTCTGTCTTTCTGTCTCTCTGTCTCTCTGTCTCTGTCTCTCTGGCTCTCTGTCTTTCTGTCTCTCTGTCTCTCTGTCTCTGTCTTTCTGTCTCTCTGTCTCTCTGTCTTTCTGTCTCTCTGTCTCTCTGTCTCTGTATCTCTCTGTCTCTCTCTGTCTCTGTCTCTGTCTCTGTCTCTGTCTGTCTCTGTCTCTGTCTCTGTCTCTGTCTCTGTCTGTCTCTGTCTGTGTCTGTCTCTGTGTGTCTGCCTGGCTGGCTGGCTGGCTGCCTGCCTGCCTGCCTGCCTGCCTGCCTGCCTGTCTGCTGTGTGCAAGAAGAAGTAGGGAAGTGCCACATTGCAATGTCGTGCTGCACTGCTAACCGGTTTCTCATTTGGCTTGCGGACAATGCACACCTGCGGACATACCATGTTGCCTGCCGCAACAGGCAGCCGCTACGGAGGCTATCAGCCAGTTGCCGAGAGAGCCGTTCTCGACAGGGAAGGGCTTCACGTGGCTGGATGCGTTGAGGAGCGTGGATTGCGACGCGCAAGCCAAAGAAGCGACCTGTGTATTCCCCCAGATGGGCACTATTTTCACCCACCAGGTTCTCACCCGTGAGGATGCCTGCGACTTTGTCTTGCAGGTCGTGGATGCTGGTGGTGAGGGCGAGGAGCCAATCTGCGTGGGCGTCGTGAGCGATGAGCCAGTTGGCTTCTGGTGTTTGCCCGTGGGCCATCCGCAGTTGGCAAGCTCAATTGGTATAGTGTCAGCAGGTCCTCATGCAGGACACATTGTGCAGGCTGGCCAGCTGAGGAGGGTAGAGCAAGGCATCGCAAGTGGAGACACGATCCGGATTCAGATAGAGCCTGGCTCTACTGTGAAGATATGGCACGGGCCAACCGTCCTTGGCGCGTTTGTGGTGGGCGGCAATGGTATGTTCCGGTGCGCCGCGAGCTTGAGCAGCATTGGACAGCGCGTCAGGATCGTGGATAGCGCGCAAGATGCGAGCGCAGCAGCTGCCGTGAGCCGCATGGTTGATCCACGAAGAGCCGGGCAGACGAGCCCGAGCAATCCAGCGGTGCCAGCAGTGAGAGATGAGCAGAAGAAGGCAGAGGAGCAGGAGCATTCCGACTGCTTGTGCGGTTCTTCCGAGTTACTGGTAGCAGCTGGGGGTTTGCGTCGCTGTTGTGGTGCCATGCGTCTCCCCAGGATGGCAGCCCATGCTCCCCAGCCAAAGTTGCGGCTGCCGAGGATAAGGTGCGGCACCCACGTTTTTAGATCGCATCGCCAGTGGCCAGGGCAGCCAGGGACTCCGGGGACTCAGAGAGGTAGGTCTGTCTATTGGCGAGGAATGCTGCTGTATCAGAATTCCTACAGACTCTGCTTCGTGTTTGTGTGCAGGAGCTTGAAGCTGTAAAGGGCCTTGTAAGATCTAGTAAGTGTGTCCGCACAGTGATCGAAAGCTCCACCGCTGATTTGGACGAGGCCATGTGCCAGCTACACACCGCAGGAGACTAACAAAGGGTAGAATAGCAAAGCAAGCAGCTCCATGCAAGGGCTTGGATGATGATGACGATTTGAAGGAAGCCATCCGACTGTCCCTACAGGCTCGGGCTCATGTAGTTTCGCAATCGAAGCCGTGGCAGCGACCCGTGCTCGCAATCTCGGTTATGATCCCGTGGCCGCAACGTTGGGCTTGCTAGTCGGAATGATTTGCCTGGAGTGGGGGCATCATGTTGAGCTGTGTTACTGCTGTCTTGACCCTCCTGTGTTACATGCGTTGCTGAGATCAGCAGACACTAGCTGCTGAGACAAGGGCATCAACAGCAAGCACTGAAAAGAGCAATTGAACAGGAAAGTGCGTCCAAGACCTCTAATGCCGTAAGGAACTTATCGCCATGATCCTCCCTTCGTCCAGTTATTTCGATTTGTCGTCCCCTGCAATAAAAGGATACGTGGGGACTCTGGATGAGGGGGGCACGCTAGGGCCCATGGCTCACCCGCAGCAAGCAGAGCTATTCAAATTTAAGCTTTGATTCTTGCGGCGCTGCACCCTTCACTCTCCTTCCTTGTGTGAAGTACATGGAAGTACACCCTTGCTGCAGGATGAGCAAGGCAAGGCAGGGAATTGAGCTGCACCTTCCCGGGCCGCAGCCCGCGCAATCGTTCCGAGCTTACTGGGCATTTCTGTTGTGGTGTCTTGCTTCCCTGCATGCTCCGCTGGAGAGGGGTCTGGCGGTAGGGCCGCAGATGTGTTTTGCCATAAGGCATGCTGCCGTGTGATGGCTTGCGGGCCCGGTGCAGTAGCTACAGTGTAGCTTCACCGCCAAAAGGTGGCAGAAGCACTGCTGCGTGCTGGCCAACGCAGAGCGCTCCAGATGCGCCCCAGAATTTGGCCACTTTTTGCAGTTAAGATGGCCGAGAGAGGCTGGCTTATTCGGAGACCACCAGAAAGGATTCCCACTAGACCCTACACTCCCCGCTGGTGTCATTTTCGGTTGTTAAAGTCGGCTACAATGCCGAAGCCCATCCACGCCTCATTTCGCTTCAACGCGAATGTAGCTTCGGCCTCAAATCGCAAAGAACAAGCGCAATCCAATCTTGTTCTCCTCATGTAGCACATCCTAGCGTCGTAGATGCCACCTGGCAGCAGTCTGCCGGCATTTTCCACTCCTCTGCTTGAGAGGGGTCCTGCCGGTAGGGAGGGGCAGCAGCTACAATGTAGCTTCGCCGCCACAAGGCGGCAGAAGCACTGCTGGCCATGAAAGCGCACAGCGCTCCGCACCATGATTTTCTGATTTTGCTAGCTACAGAAAGCCGCTAAAATGGCCGAGAGAGGCTCCACCAGAAAGGCTTCCAATGAGATCCTACGCGCTGCGCTGGTGTCATTTTCGGTTGTCAAAGTCGCCTACAATGCTGAGGCGCTTTTCAAGGCAGAGCGAAAAGAGCTTCGGCCAAGTTGAAAATCGCCGAGCTCGGAGCTAGTGCGCAGTGCCTTAAGCGCCTCCGCGCACGAACCCGATGCTGGAAGGAGCTTAGGTTTATGACCGCCGGCCGCCAGAGAAGAGCTCAGGCACAGGGTCCTCATGCAGGCAGCAAGAGCCAGCTCAGCGACCTTGCTGCAGGGTGCAGGTGGCATCTGCCTGGTAGAGTTGAAGGCACATCTTGTGGTCTTTTGAGCCCAAGGCAAGCTGCATACAACCTTACTGCAAGTCTGACAACCCAGCGCCATGGGAGCTGCAGCGTCGCATGCTGGGCAAGGCGTGGCAAGGCCATCCTCATCGCGCTTTGTACTCATTGGAGCTAGGAACCCCTCACCTCGTTTAACCTTGGATCTTGAGCCTCGCCCCCCTGCTAAAAAATTATCCTACCCTCGCCGCTTCTACGATCATGGCGAGAAAAGTCGAAGACGAGGACCGTCTATGCCGGCAGCAGGCTCTTATCCTTACAGAGCACCAACATATTCACACGACCCTGCTGGGAGGCCTGGATGTACAGGGCCACAGCTCAGGGTAGTAAGCATGCGGTCTTCCGAAACTCCCCTCCCCTCGCACAGTGCACCCCTTACTCAACAAGATTTAAGACACGCCTTGCGGAGCTCTGGTTCTCCATGTCTCTGGAGGGGCTCACATTGCATCCTGCCCCGGCTGTAGCAGTGCATGCGGTGCCTGCTAGACGTCCTTTGTATTTCCAAAGCTGGCTGCCTAAATGTCTCGTATTGAAACCATGATAGGAGCGGTTTGTCCCAGCGCTGAGGTCAAGGAGACGTTCTCGGCCATCTTCAAGCTTGCTTTCGAACACATCGATCCGTCTTTGCAAGAGATGTGGCTGACAATCGGATATCAGAGGGACCTTCGAGCACTTCGGCAACAGTGGAGGCGCGGATAACTCGGCTATGAGGATGCCAGCGAACCAGAAGAACAGAGGGTCGTCTGTCAGCATGAGGCTGCATCGTCTCTCGACGTTTCAGGCACTGTCAAACAGCGGCGCGTGCTGAGCACATTTCGCTCTGTGGGCGCTTGCGAATGTGAAGACTTACGAGAAGGTGAATCAATGGGCATGAAGGACCCGACTGTGATTTGTCACAGCTGGGTCTTTGCTGCTGAGAAGCAGCCTTCTTGATCATTCGATGTCATTCGCAAGTTGTGAATGCTATTGACTGCTCATGCTGGGTCTGCCGCCTGGCTGTAATGCAACTCCGCTGTTTTGCCCAAGCGCAAATCCACAATTTCCGGCGGTTGCGACTTTCTTTGCTTCCTGTGCGAGGCTGCGGTGGGCCGGTGTTGGTTTGCAACTCTCTGAAGGTGTTGCTGCTCCCCCACTTCTGCTTTTCTGGTGCCAACATTTGCCGCTCGGCATCTTTGCAGCTCCTTCCTTTGATCTTGCTCGCCAAGGCGCTCGCACGCCATCTTGTGAATTCGAAAGTGCACCACCTGCCAGCCTTCAGACGCGCTTGCGCTTCATGGACTGGCAAAGCTCGGGCTTCAGAATCCGTGGCTTGGCAGTAAACGACTGGCCTTGCAGAAATAATTGGATGGGCAATGCAAGGACACGTGTGGTAGCTATTCGCCTGCGCAGACCAGGTGAATGGCAGATGCTGGCAGCTTCAGACACCGTCTTGAGCAGCATTGGAGGACTGCGCCGTGGCTGTTATTAGTGTGTACAGAGGACGCTTATGATTGCGCTGAAAGCTGCATAAGCTTAAGCAGCTGACATGCTCTACCCCAGGCAGCAGAGCTCCCTGCTCACTGCAAAGTTCGTTACACTTCGGAAAAATTGCACTGGAAAGCAAGTTATCTGCATTGCTTGTATCTGCGCTGTTAATTTAGAGCGACGTATAAACAAGACACTTCACCACGAGGTCGCTGGATGCACATGCTAGGGCATCTTGGCATCCATTGTACCTTGAGCAGTCCTCGTGCTGGGACAGATAGGCGCTCCTGCAAAAGGCAGTAAGGCAGTAGGTGCGGCTTCGCTGCTATATCTTTGCCCCGCTAACCTCGAACGACCTGGCAAGCATGTTTGGACTGCGCTCTGCTAGGAGAGCACTACACTTGTGAGTCAAGATCGCTGAAAGGCATGTCACACGGTGTGGTAGGCAGTCAGGCCCAGAGAGCAGGTCGGTTTCAAGGTGGCTTGTCTTTGATCGGTATGCAGGCTGCAGACTTCGCAGTGCCAGGGCTTTAGCTCTTCAGCTCCCTGTTGCCCCGCCATTCGAGCCTGAAGCAATGCTTTCTTAGCTTTCGACCTCCGTATCCTCCAGAAAGCAAGTGTTCATTGCTCAACTTCGAGTTTGACAGCTCCGGACCAAGGAGCCTCGAAAGTCGTTGGTGCTCATGTGTTCCCCTTAGAAAGCGATACCAAATCGCTCGACAGTAGCTTGTTGAAACTGGGAATGTGGGCATTTTGGACAAGAAGCTGGGCTCAAGAAACCCTCTTGAAGCCAGCTTTTCCATGCCATTGATCCATGTCAGGCTCGGTTCATCTTCATTACGTCGAGTTCAACGTTTGGGACCTGGCGGGGAAAAGTGGAAGGCAACAGGCCTGGAACCCAAATCCAGAAACACGACCCGAAAGACCTGGAGCCAGCTCTGGATCCTGACAGAACGTGGGGTTTTAAGCATAGGGTTTAAGGTTTAGGGCTTGGAGTAAAACTTTACAAGCTGCGGGTAGATGGTCCACCACAGCTGGCCTGCCGAGAGATTCACCACGGAAAGTTTCCAACATACAGTTGCGAGCAATTCTTATAGTGCGGCCTCCCCAACAACAATGTACCTGCGAACAGGAATGATATCAGAGCATGTAACCGCGGAGGGCGCAGGAGGGTCCAGAAATGGATCACCACCCCACATATTACCTATCGACTTCGACGAGAAACACATGGGCATGAGAACGTGCGCGCAAGCATATGGGGACGTGCCCAGGCGTCTGCGATGAGGAAGTGCCCGCAAGGTACACGAGGTGGCATGACCAAGAACATGCAACAACTGACCCGCACGTGCTAGATGGATTCTAGCTAGGCATAGCTAGGGTTTAGGGAGTTTCGAAAGAATGAATGCATGTGTGTTTTACCTCGGAAATTAAACCCTAAGCCCTAGAAGTGAAAACCACAACATGTGTAATTGGTAATCCCGCAGTCCGAGGGCATACCGGCATACCAGGTCAGTGGATTCACACATGTGTTTGGAATTGCCTCACGCAGCGTGGCGAACTCTTGCCCAAGTAGCTGGAGTCTCATGAAAACATGGTAAAACAGGCTGTGACACAGGCCTCTGGGATGGCCAGTGTAGGTGATGTATCTTTCCCACTTGTGACTTACGAGATACCCGTTATTTGCAGCCAGCAAAGAAGCCTCCAAAATACATGGGAAGCGGCAGCTCGCTG